TTGCTTCGCATATTTTGTATTAAACGTTGATTCTTTCCCCCGGCCGCTCACAGTTTGAGCTTCTCAAATATTCTGTAATATGCTCTCGGGGCAATAAATACGTAATCAAGTAGCATAATAAATAAATTACAATCATTATTCACAGTGCGCTAATGATGCTTAAATTTCGCCGCAAACCATCAACAAACAAATAATGCGCCATTTTTTTTTTATTTTTTTATATTCTTAATCTAAAAATATGACAATGCCAGTTGAACAAGCAGCAGCAGCAGCAGCAGAAGCACACAAGAAAAAAAAGTAAAATATATATATAAAAATTAATCAGAGCTAGGCTAGAAATACAAGGAAAAAAAAAAACAAAAATGCATAATTTATTTTCATCGTATTTACATGCCACGCACAGTCGCCGACTTCGAGAGCCATAAATATGTGTTGGGCCAATGCTAAAAATCTGCCTGGCGCAATAAATATCACATTTTATTGGGCACACGCAGGAGAGGTTGCCTGCCTGCCTGCCAGCCTGCCAGCCAGCCAGCCAGCATCAAACGTGGCCCACAGCTACAGCCGCTGGTCTGGTAATGATGGGCGAATGCGTGTCTAGGCAACCAATAGATACATTTTTGTGTATTCGTCTGCCTGTCTGTTATCTGCACACAGCCAAGGTCATTCGCTTGTTTCTCCATTCAATTAGCAGCGCAGAGCGGGCGTGTCGTATGAGCAATTTGCATGTTTCACTGGAGTCTAGACTGTATCTAAAAATAATAATAAAAAAAAAAGGGGCGAAAGTTTCGACTGGTGTTGCTGCTGCTGCTGCTGCTGCTTTGTTTGGCGGCTGTTTTTAGTCTCGGTACCATTTAATTTGATGCTTTTTGTGGGTCAAGCCACAAAATGGCGGCAGCGGCGCAATGATGACAATGATTTTATTCCTTTCTTATGTTTTGTTTTCGCTGCTGGAAGGCTTCCTCCCTCAATCTATTTTATGGCATGCCCGCATTCTCATTGTCATGATTGTTGTTCTTGTTGTTGTTGTTGTTCTTGTTGTTGTTGCAGTTTTAACGTCTTTGAAAGCCCGTCAACCACAATGCCTTTATTTATGTGCATGTGGCTTTTGTTTTGTTGCTTTTCGGCTGCTTTGCTATTACGATATATGTATGTGTATGTAAGTGTATTTGAAAAGGGTCCTCAGCTCGTTTTATTCCCTTTTCCTTTCTCTTTTTTTTTTTTTTTTGTATCTACGAGAATCTTGACAGATTCAAGACGCGTGCGAAAATGGGCCGTTTTCAATGGAACAAAGGAATGAAAACGTCGACTTGTTACACATAATTTGAAAATTATGGCGAAATCATGCGAATGGTGCGGTTCGTGTCAAGGCGACAGCTCCAGTCAGAAATATGTTGAACCCACATTAGCAAGCATCTTAAATAATAAATGTTTAAAATGAACCCTATATCTATATATATATATATGGTTTCTGGCAGGCAGGAAATTGGTTTATTCGCTCATACCAAAGATTATATCTCACTACTATAATATATGCGTACAATTAAACAGAAATATTTGTAAAAAAATAATACAAATATTGCACGCAGCTTAAAATTGAAATACTTACGTGGCTTAAAATCGTGAATTACGCGTTTTTCAATATGATGGACACATAAATTCACTTGAATTCAGCTGAGTGGCACTTGTGTAGCAGCAACAACTAGGCAAATCGGGCAAATGCGTTGACCAAATGTGCGCATTGAAGCATTTGATGCTGGCCATAGTTTGAAATATCTGCGGTTTTGCGGATGCCGTCCAGGCTCAACATGATTCGCGGTCTTGTGCGACTCGTCGAGCACTCATGAATAAATCGACAAACAAATTTCAAATGCATCATTTAACATTGCCAAATTGCGTATTTATTTACTGTACTTTAACATTTCAAACTGCAATTTATATGTATTATATATTTTTATTTCATTTTTTTTTTGCAAATGGATTTTTATAAAATAGTTTAAATCCGTGCGCATTGAGTATTTAAAGTAATTGATTTGAAGCACACTTTAACTACTTGTGAGTCTGGTTTTAAGTGAACAGCTTTAGCCTTTTAGTGAACGTTTGGACAAATTCTCTCGTGCATTTAAGTTGCTAAGTTAAAATAAACTGAGCGCAACAGCAGCAGCAGCACCATCAGCATCAGCAACAACAACAACAGTGCTGGTAAATGCGCAACAACGGCTGCAACAACAAAACATGTGCAAAGCAGTGAAAATCCTACGTAATCGTTGCAGTAAAAGTAACCGCACTGCTTGCAGGCAGCCGAAGCAGCAACAACTAGCACGCTACCGTGTGGAAAATATTTATGAGCATGGTTTTTACGCCAAATGCATTTTATAAAATGTTACCCCCTTCTCACTCACTCTCCTACTCTCTCTCTCTCTCTCTCTCTCTCTGCTATCTCATTTTCTGGCATTCTTTATCTGAATTCAGCTTCTGTTTGTTTGCGCTTCACACTCTGTCTGACTGCTTTACCGTCGACGTTTTCGTAAGCGCGTAAATATCATTGGCGCTTGTGCATTAGTGTGCGTCTGTGCGTGTTAAGCAGTGCGTTAAAGTGTTTATGTGTTGGTTACGTATGTATGTATGTATGTGTGTGTACCAGCAGCAGCAGCAGCAGCCGCAGCATCAGCAGCAGCGCAACCAGTAATTTTTTCTTTTCTTTTTCACTTTACTCTTTTTTGGCACTCAACGTAGTCGCTGCCGCAGTCATTGCCACCTGCAGCGCTCCCTTTCGCTATAATATATCTGTCTCATTTTATGCTCCTTCCACTTGTATGCTAATTTCGCTTCACACATTTTATATTTATACGCTGCTGCTGACAACAGCAGCGCCAAACAGCAACTGCAGCCAACTTAACTGCGAGAAAGCCACAGGGTTGCCACCGCTCGTTTCGTTTGAAGTTGCATTGCGTTGTTAGTCTTCTTGTTGTTGTTGTTGTTGTTGTTGCCGTTGTTGCCGCTGCTGTTGTCATAATTAAAACGCGCTGCATAATTGCCAAACAATGGAACACAATGCATTGTCACAGTGGTGTACATATATGTCTGTGTGTGTGTGTGTATATGTGTGCTACCCCCTTCCCTTTCCACGGGTAACGGCTCCACAGCCTGTGCGCTGGGCCCATGGCAATCACGACCATTTATTCGATTGCCTAACAAAGTGGACAATGTGCAATGTTTTGTCTCCCTGTTTGCATTGGCCAGGCCAACAACCAGCACACATACACACACACAAAACACACACACAGACACTGGCATACTTATACATGTATGTGAGGCAAGTGCAGTAGAGCGCGCTACAAAATGTTTCCACAATTCGAGACGTAATTGGATAACGCTGCCTGGCAGCAGAGAGAGCTAGCAAAAACCCCTAAACATTTTTGCACAGGTTGTCACACACACATACATACGTGCAACACACACACACACACACATGTACAGTTAGAATGATAGTGGTGAAAATAACTAGTTAAACGACGGCAAGGAAATGCCACACTTTGGCTGGTAAGAGAAAAGATAAAAATGTTTTTAATTAAGCCAAGCATTCTAAAAGCTTGTGAAATTTTTCTACAATATAAACCGAAAATATGTATTTAATTTATAGTATTTATGACAGTTTTTTTTTAATTATTCTAAATATTTAGTGTTTATCGGTATTTGGAACAAAACCAGAACTAATCGAAATCTATGAAATTATTTGCGGAAAATATTTTATTTTTGCAGGCCATACAGATTCTTGCTGAATTTTCAATAACGTGAGTTATCCATTTAATGAAATATTTATATGAACATTGAAAGTATTAGTAAATAAATACCAATGTAATTAAAAATTGTAAATTGTGTTGGAATTTCAGCGTGAAATGCATTTGATTTCAAAAATAGTTTATCGATCGAAGCAAGGCAAATATGAAGCCAATATATATTTAAGCAAATATATAGCATAAATATGCAATATTTTCCAACTGAAAGTTGCAACAAGAGACCAAATACAATCAACAAAAATGGGATTTTAATACTATCACAGCGACTTGCTTTGGCAACCAGGAACTTAGTCAGAGCCAAGTTCACTTTTAACCGCATCATTTGGTGGCTGCAAGACTCCCAATCCCAATCGTAGTCCTTCGTCCCTCCACATCGATTCTTAGATACACCTTGTGCCAATTTGCTTTACTCCTATGCAAAAGTTAGCTTACATATTTATTTTAAATTTTCCGTTCCTTTTGCTGCATTCAAGCCAAAAGCGACGGAAGTTGCGATAAGGCTGCTTTTACCGCACGATGGCTCTTTGGGTGATTGGGTGGTTGGTTGGTTAGGCTGAGCTTCGATTGCCACATTCTCATTTTGCCTCATGGACCGGCAGCCATAAAATATTCGACCAAAGTGCACTCGCACACACACACACAAACACACACAAACACACACACACACACCCGGCCGCACTCACGTAGTTGCGGTTTCAATAATCAATGAGTTGATTTTATGAAATTTGTGTTTACCTCCACACATTGCCTCCTATCCAACTTCCTCCACAGCCACAGCGTCATAGCGCAGTATTTTTGGCTTAAAGCATTCACACCCAAAAACACACACACACACACACACACACACTGACACACACACATACACAGTTGCTCGTTAAGCTCACTCACACATGTGTGCGTGTGTGTGCTGAAATTTTATTAACGAGAATTTTGAAATTTTTTGCATCATTTTTCGCATTACGGAGTCGGCGGAAGGCAAAAGCAATAGTGAAAGCAAAACAGACTCCAAGCACAGGACGTGGCGACGTGTTGATTGTGGCTCAAAGATCAAATGAATTTTAATTAATATTTTAATTAATAATATCGTCAGCTTGCCTTACCTATCTCGCCCACAAACTAATTCTTTTCCACTTTGTAGAAATTGATTTTTGTTTATCATAAATATAACTTTTTGTTTTCTATTATATCTTTCTCTTGCAGAAATACGGTATTTAATTTAAGCATAAATGATCTCGCGGAGCAGCAACGTCTCGTGTGGACGTCCCCGGAGGAGGATACCAAAATGTGTATCGTCAAGGGCAAAGATGAGGTAAGAGACTTATTCCAGCTTAAAATATTCAACTTTTTGCTATGCTAAAATATATCATTTAACATATCCAAGGCAGATTAGATGACAAGTAAAATAATTTCTGATTGAGAAAGTACATCGAATATCCATTTCATATTATGCTCAAAATTACTAATAAAATATCTGAACTTAAATATACTCAATTAGTTTAGATACATTGATATTACGATAGTCTTATACAGTATTCATTTTGACATCTTAGCAAAACTATGATAGTAAATTGTTAGTGACTTCTTTGGTGAACTTTCATCGTTTGGCTCTGTGGCAATTTCCATTTTCATTTTGATTGCAATTCGCATTTTAAATTTAAGTTGTTGATGTTCTCATTATTGTTGTGGGGCAATGCTTCCGTTGCGGCAATAACTTTGTGGAAAACTAGTAAAAAAAAAAAACCGAAAAACAAAATAATAAAATGTTTTCCGTTCTTCCAAGTTTTATCGCGAGCAACAAATGCAGCCAGCTCTGAGGAAATTGATTTATGCAGCTTCTGGTTTTTTGGGGGTTTATATTTTTTGTTTTTGGTTATCGGCTTTCGGTTTTCGGTGACCTGGCTAAGTAATCGAATTAAATTTATTGCTGGCATTTTGGCTTCGGCGCAGTTGACCCATTAAGAAAAGTGCCAAATTGGAAGGGAAGCAGAAAGTTCGAGTCCGAATCTGAGCATTAGCAGTGTCCCAATCTGAACTTGCTTAATGGAAATTGCAAACAATTTCGAATTAAATTTGGAAAATATTGGAAAGCGTCGCTGCTGCTGTTGCTCTGTGTTTGTTGCTGTTGCTTCGGGTTGCTGTTGGTGTTATGCCTTCAGTTTCCGGTCAACAATACCAAATGGCGCAAGCCGCAAGGAGAAATGAAGGACACGCCACCGCACTCCAAACCCCAAGCCCAAACCCCAAGCCCAAGCCCAAGCCCAAGTCCTATCCCCAATCTTTAACCCCGTTGCATGCTCAAGTGCACTTGTGGCATTGCTGACGCTGACGTAATTAAGCAACACTTGTTAAGGGGTGCTATATCCAAGGCAGGGTCTCTGGGTAAAGGGGGTCACAACCAACACAACCAACTAAAAACAGGTGCAATTTGTTCAACTCAATTTGCTTCACTTCACCTCCGACTCGTTTATTTATAGCGTCAAGATGGCTAAAGGAAAGAATTAGCCTTTGTTTTCTTGTCCGCATCCACAGAAAAGAGTTGCAATGCGACTAAAAGCCACTGAGACCCCCTTCCCCCCCTCCCCGTTCCCACACACACACACACACACACACTAAAAAGAACCCTCTCCATTCTGCACCCTTCCTCGAGGGGTTGCGACAATAGCGTGCATGGCCGCCATTTTGCAAAGGTTACGCCCCTTGCTTGCAGCATGGCCAAAAATAAAAAAGAAAATACAAAAATACAAAAATAGGAAGCCAAAATGCAATTGTTGCACTAATGAAAAGTTCAAAATTTACAATTTTAAGTAGCTGACATTTCGCTAATATGCGCGGCCCGTTAATGCAGATGATAATCATCGCCAGCGATGCAGCACCAAGGAGCATGCCACACTTTTTATGGCCTGCACTGCAAGTTTTGAGCGCATGAAAATGCCAACCACTCACGCGATTTTTATCTGCACCAATTTCATTAGCTTGCATAGCTGAACTACCAAATAATGTGCTTAAAGGTAATCTGCCTAATTTAATTAATGCCTGGCAGGAAATTGTTTCACTTCACATACGAGTTGTAAACTAAGAAAATATTTATTTTAATTTATACTCGAATTTTTTTTGTGAAACATATTTTTAATAAATCAAAATTTTATGCTACCATCAGCTTAATCTCCGCTTTTCCGACACTGCGAATAATTTTGTGGCCAACAAATAAAAAACACACACACAAACAAACAAACGCCAAAAGTTTTCTCATTTGCGCTGAATAATTTAAGGCCAACTGTTCCTGGAAAAAATATTCATGGCTGATAAATTTGTTGAGCGCTGCTTTTTTGGTGGGTAAAAAAATTCATTGATATATATGTATTATGTATATATATATATATATATATATATATGTATTGATATTGGTTTTAAAGTACATAATGGCGGCCATTTTATGAAAAATGTGAGCCGGATGCGGCATTAAAGCTCTTTACTTTGGTCATAAACCAATGGCACACAAACACAGCTCTGATTATAATTGCACCGATGACAACATACACTTATGCATATCATATGTACATACATACATTCATATGTATATTTGCATTGCTGCAAAAGCCGCAAAAGATTTTTCTAAATTTTTAATTGATTTGTTATTGGCAACAATGTTTTATTAAAGCTGCGTAAACATCTGTTAAAAGCGGCAGACTCAACTCGATAGCCACCTCGCACTCCAAAAACGCCACTTCAGTGCCCCGTCCGCCTTGGGCCTGCGGCGAAGTGGGTAAAATGAGCGATTGGTCAAAAAAGGCAAGCAAAAGCAGCTGCGCCGAGTTGGCCCAAAAGCTGAAAATGCTCAAATATAAATATGGAAAATATGCAACGACAAAGTGAACATTAAAAGCGGTCAGCCGAATATAACAATTCACAGTTCGCATATGCCACATATTAATTAATAAAGCATGTTGAAATATTTGATTAAATTGTTCAAGTCAAATATTAACGCAGCACATTCAGGCAAAAATATTTGCACACAAACTTGCAGGCCTGCAGAATTTTTCATGTAAGTTTCGTGTATGGTTTGCTCAACCGGAATTCTGGCATGAGTTGAATAACAGCCATAAATTGTCGTGGTCTTGAGGAATTAATAATTTCATTTATTTAAATTTAATTTTGAGACTTAAAAGAGAAAAATAGCTGCCACGACTTCAATTGGTATTTCAAGGCAAAAACTCTTTGCACTAACTATTGTTGTAATTTAAAATACGAACGCTCAGCCAAAGTCGATCATTAAAAATAATGTCAATTGGGCGGCAATGTAAATAAAATTCTATACGCTCGAGCATAGCTGTTAACGTTCTTTTTATATGCGTTTTCGGCCATCAGACAAATGAAAGACAAACAGTCGATTAATTTTGAATGCCAGACGAAATGTTGGTAAAGCCTGCAGCAATAAAGAAAGGGGAAAAGAATGGTAAATAAACAACAACAACAACAAAAGTGGGCGTTGCGAGGTCAACACATTACGTCAAAGAAAGTGGTTAGACTTGTGGGTGGGTGGGGCGGCGGGTGTGGCAGGACTTTAGGAGAATTAATGAAATTCCGAATGCCCCAGCAAAATGTCAAAACGAAATGAGTGATTTGAATGGATGTACGCATGCCACGTGCCCCACGGTCTCGGTCTATCCGTGTGCCACCCAACTGGCAACAACAAGTGAGATAAATGAGCGTGCGATAGTTGGGATAGATGAATGTATAGATGGATTCGAACCGGCAGCGAGACCGAAATACCAAAGTACTTTTGCGGCCGAGCACTCGGAAGCTGTCAGAAGGCCCATGTCTATGTCTATGTCTCTGTCTATTTAGATATGTATATGTGTGTGGGCTTGTGGGTGTGGGTGTGGGTGTGGTTGTAGCTGTGGCTATGCGCCTGTGAATGTCGAAAGTGTTGGACACCTGTGCATAAATTAAAAGCACTTCCGCACTCCAAATGAACAATAGCCATCTCGGTCAGAGCTCAGCTCCAACACAAATGAATGAGAAATGTCATTTCCAACAGAGAGAGAGAGAGAGAGAGAAAGAGAGGGATACACCGAGGGAGAGAGAAAAAGGGATGCAACATAACACCCAAATGCCATTCAGTCGGTTTGAACAACATCAACAACAACAATTGAACATTTGGTCAACCATTGAATTGACTAAGAAACCCATTGTGATACCAGCCCCAAGTATGCACAAAGTATTTAAAGCCTATTTCACAGGACTCTGCATCAATTCAACAGCCGCGCACAATTTTCAAATTAATAACTTAATGATTTTAAGAATTTTAAAATTAGATTTCGATTTAGATGTCAAAGTAAAGAAATTCGATGCCATTTTACTTGAAATATTAAACATTTAATCTTTCTTTCAAGACTCATCGATTGAATCTTAGACTTCAATATTTTCTTTACAGTATTAAGCATTTAACTTTATGACTTTTAAGTCAATGAAAAACTTAATAGAATCTATATCTAAAGATCAGGAGTCATAGATTGTTAGATTGTTATACATTACTGGTGTTATTGGAAGTGATTCGAACAATTTTTTTTATTTTATGTTCTGTGCCATTTCAAAAAAGTTCTTTCTTTCTTTAGTATATCTCTTGATATTTTTAAAATTATTTCTGGTATGTCAAACCTTGTTGTTAAGTTGGATAATTTGCTGCTAGATAGAAAGCTTAATTGTTATTTAGTAATTTCCTGTCTTGAATGGTGACATTTCATTATCATTCCAGAACAGCTTTGCTTGGCAAAGTCTCAACTCAACTCAACTCAACTGCAGAAACTGCATTTGGGCCATAACATTTGAACTATGTGAGAAGCAAGCTAAATGCTGTAAAGTAAAACCTTATAAGATGGGCACGAACGAATGACAAAAGCTTAGTTAAAATGGACCAAAAATGCTTGAGAGAAATGTGAAACTACAAGTGGATGAAATTAGTTGCTGTCCGTTTGCCCTGTGGCAGTTTCTGTTGCTGTTGCTGTTGCTGCTACTGTTTTTGTTGTTGTTGTTGTTGCTGATGTTGTTGTTGTTCATATTCCAGTTGCTGCCATTCATTTTACTGTTCCTTAAAATTATTAAATGAAATGCTTTTGCCGTTGGCCAATTCATTTGTCTCATTTGCTAGAAACGACCGAAAATTTTGCTGGCTTCCGTCGTCTCCTGTTCTCTGTCTCTGTTTGTGTATCATTAACAAAATTTTGCTGTTGCCCACCTGCAGGCAGGTTTGGTTCGCTAGAATTTAACTCGAATGTCAGAAAGTAAACCGAATGAGCGTATGTCTTCAAATTGATAGCCTTCGCTCAAACAGGAGGCAATGTGAAATTTCTGAAATTTTCCAAAACGTTTATTTGCCAAATTGCACAGCCGCTCAGCTCTCTGACCATTTTCTGTCCACATCCACATCTCCCACTTTTAAGCTGGCCAACAAATGACTATTGTCAACGTGATTAATGCGAATTTCACTCTGTTTGATAACTGTGCAGAGATTATTTAATGTTTGTGTGCTTGCTTTAAGATATTCCATTCGGTCACATCTTAAATAGCTTGAATAATTTAAACATAATTTGCATACAATTAGAAATGGTTCAGATCATAAATATTATTCAAATATACATAAATGAATTATGAAAAACCAATAAAGAATTGTTTGTGTCAAATGCATTTGCTAATTTACAGCATATTAAAATACACAATTATTGGCCAAATAAAACATGAATTTGGTTAATTTGCATAACCCCAAAGTTTGCATGCAACATAAATTTGTCAAATTAAATATGTTTTGAAATAAAATTTAAACCTAAAAAATAACTACGCACTTGCTAAAAGTAGTCAAACTTTATGCTCTTTTAATCTAAATAAAAAATAAGTTTTTTATTTACCGGTTTTTGACGAAAATATATGTGATAAATTTAATTTAAGAATAATATGTTTTCCATTTATGTTTAATTAATTTTTAATTAAAAATTGCTTATAAAAATATATAAAAAAATGATGAGTATTCTAGAAGTGAATAAAAATGCGCAACACAAACCATGGCAAAATACGAATACCTCGAAAGGGTATTAAAAAATAGCTAAAAAACAATAAACGACAGCCATAACATTCAAAAGCGGAAAATTAATAAATTTGACGCTTAATTGCATTCAGCTCGAATAACAAGCATTGAAATAGTCTCTTTTATATATTGCAGTGTGTAGCATGGTAATGTCGCTGTCTATGTTCGTGTTAATTACAACGGCAATAATGTAAAGTACAACAAAAGTAGAAGTGACAACTACCAGCTCCCACTTCTAACCCCACATCCCACATCCCACATCCACTCTCAAACCACGTGCTCTCCCGGCCAGAATAAATTTCTGGCTCTCACTCTCTTCACTCTACTCTGGCCTGGCATGCTTGTGTAATTGTTGTAAAATGTGTTTTGTTAATTTATTTAAATTTATGCTCAAAATGCCGCAAAAGCCAGGAAAACAACAACAACAGCAGCAGCAGCAGCAGCAGCAGCAAAGCACATAACTAACAGCCAGGCAACAACAAAACCGCAAACTAAGCAACACCAACAACAAAACAATGCAAACAGCTTAAATTTTTAAAACAATAAATAAAATGAAATAGAATAGAATATGCTGTCCGTTCAAATGGTCTGACAATTTCCCAAGGCGCTGCGCAACAAAATAATGAACGATTTCTACAATATTAGCAACAAAAGGCAATCTGTTTGAATGCGTCGTACTTAAAATCGAAATAAAGTCAGCATTTACACATGTCTCAACAGTGTTAGACTTTCATTTAGTTATTTTTGGGTTAAAACAAAACAAAAAAGAGCATTGTATATGTTGGTTTAAAAAAACAAACCTATTAAACAAGTCGGAAAAGTAACTAAATAATTGTATGATATATTTGTCTGGTTATTTGTTCACGCTCGTCAGCGAAGGTGTTCGTGTGTTAATATCCGGCTCTACACACAATTCTTCACATTACTGGTCCCAATTTTCCAGCATAAAGCAATCGGAAAATGCGGTTAGCCTTTTAGCACTGAATTGATATTATTTTGTTAGATGGTAGATACAATTAGGACAATGTAAATGTTGCGGTTGAGAACGCGGTGTCGTGGTGCAAAGTGGAGCGTGGAGGACATTAAATATGCACTTTACAGTTGTACACTTTGTGTACAGTGTTCATGAGCTGTAGAAATTGTGAAAATTAGTAGGCAAACAAACAAAATGATAAAATATTTCATAGGTTTTCCAACGAATAACGGAGAACGGAGAACGGAGAGAGATAGACACTCGACTAGGCAAATGGAAAATGTTTTCTCGTTGTTGAGTTGCTGCACCGGGGGAAAATTTCAAATGATTTGTCATGTCACAGTGCAGTGCACTTCCGGTTGCTGCAAATAGGGCGTGGCGCTTTTCCGCAGCTGGTAAAAGTTTTTGCATTATTACCCACTTCACTACACGTCTCTCTCTCCATCTCTCCATCCCTCTCTCCATCTCTCCATCCCTCTCTGTCCCTGCGCACACGTTGCGTATACGTATTTTGTGTGCCGTTGTGAAAATGGGAGTGCCTTTTAATATTTATTGAGTTGCAATTTGGTTAGTCCGCCAGCAGCAGCACCTGCCACCACCCACGCCCTCTGGCTGACGCTCAAGTGTATTTGATACGCATTAAATATTTCAATTTGCCAAACATTTATGCAAAACATGCACAACGAAACCTGGCGCACACATTCACCAGGAACCCGGTTGCCGGATCTTTTCGAGCCTCGTTAGGCCAAAGTGCATACCAGGACTCGTTGTGCATATTCAGGCCAAATGGCAAACGGAAGTGCAAGTTTTTGATGAGCATATGCATTTGCTAGCACATTCATGCATCTTTCCATTCAAAATTAGTGCGCCGCTTGCAATTCCACAAAATGCCGTGCAAAATCACCTACTTATTTTGTGTACTCTTCTGTTTATTGTTAACTGAATATATGTTTTCAGGCTCAACATTTTTGTATGCTTTCGTTTTCAAAATTTAACGAATTTTTGTTCTTAACTACTTATCAGCTGATGTGAAAGTTCATCATCCATTAAACCCTGAACCCATTAACAGGTAGAAGAAAACACATTCGACCCAATATAATATTCTCATCAGGATCATAAGTTGAACCAGTTCAATCATGTCCGTCTCTGTAAACTCATAAATGTCAGAGACTATAAATGCTAGAGACTTTAAATTTGGATTATAAATTCTTGTATACCCCGAGCAGATCAAGCCTATTTCATTTTATCGAATCGATTTTGCGAATATCATTTCCAAGAGCAATAAATAGTAATTTGTATTTAAAATACCTTGACTTACTCTTGATCAGCTGTGCAAATTTCAATAGGATCGCATAAGAAACATCCAAGATTTAGTACAAAACTTATTCTCATATTAATCTCATTATTTTCAACAGGCACGCGGAGTTTCTTCTAAGAGAAATTTTGCAATTTAACTAGAAATATGTATTTAACAGCTGGGTTCAATTTATTTCATAGTCGAGCTATAACATTCGTATATGTTAATATCAAGAAACTTATAGGGAAAAACGTTTTAATTTATTAATCACTAATGGACTAAAATATAATATTATCTTAAATATAAGTATAAACATCAACTTTAATATTGTCTCGTTGGCCATTTGTATTTCATCTTTTTAGGAGGCATGCCAGAACTATATACGAATAATGGTTGTTCCCTCGCCGGGTCGCCTATTCGTGTGTGGCACCAATTCGTTTCGGCCTATGTGCAACACGTACGTCATCAACGACAGCAACTACACGCTGGAGGCCACAAAGAACGGGCAGGCGGTGTGTCCCTATGATCCGCGCCACAATTCCACCTCTGTGCTGGCGGGTAAGTGACCATTTCACAGTGACTCAAACCAGTTACCACCCACCATCACCCTGTCTATTGTTTTATTTAATTCGCATTTTTTTTTAACTGGAAATGGGACGTTGCGCTTTTGTTTAAGCATAGTAAGTCAGCAGTGGCTAAAAAATGCAATTATCCGCAGCAAAAATGAGGAATATGAATACGACTATGAATATGAATATGAATATGAGTGCGAGTGCGAGTACTCGCAGCCAATTGCATTCATGGCATTTTATTTTTGTTCTTTTCGGGTCCGCAGAAAACGGTTATAAATTGTCATTCGTCATGCAACGCGCCATAAAAACTATTTCATTTTTTGTATGCCACACTCCCCCCAGCCACGTCCAGTCGCCACTCATTGACTGAGGCGTGTGAATATTTTCGTGGTGTTATTGTTTCAGGGCAATGCTGTGAATAATGTGTTGATGTTAAATATATATCCCAAATAAAATACATATTATTTTTGTCCCTTTTTGTTCCGTTTATTAAAATTATTTTTGCTTTTGTTTGAGGACCCCAATTTGTATGCAACTTTGCATTCGATTCCCAATTTACCTTTTTTTCTCTCTTTGGTTGGTTTGCTGCAAAATTTATTGGATTTTTATGACAAGTGTGTGTGCAGATAGCAGCTAAACAATTCACTAAATTTCAAATAAATACTTAGGAGCCGATACATACGCACGATTTATTATGTTAATTGTTTTCTGAGTTATTTCTTATCTGATGAATAATTGTTGTTTTTTTGCTTTATAGTTTCACATTCTTATGTTTCTTGTTTTACTATTATTAAAAATAGCAATATGTAACTTGAAATATAAACATTTAGTGTTGACTATCTTCCGGTTTATCCTTGGCTTCTTTTCACAATCCCACACGTCTCCCTCCATTTCCCAGTCGACTTGTGCTAGTTTTCTCTCCGCTCTTCGCGGCTTGTTGCTAAACTTTTCACAACATGATTTGTTTGCATTTCATTGTCTGCACACAAGTTTAGCGTTTCTGTGTGTGTGTGTGTGTGTGTGTGAGTGTGAGCGTGTGTGTGTGTGTGTGAGTGTGAGCGTGTGTGTGTGTGTGTGTGTCTAGGTGCTATCCAAAAACTGCGGCAAACAGACAAGCAGACGCAACTTGTGCCATAATATCGATAAACGTTTATAACTAACTTGAAAGTGTTTGTGGTCATGTGTGTGTGTATATGCAAGATAAATCTGTATGTGTGTGTGTGTGTCTGTGTGTGTGTGTGTTTGTGTGTGTGTTTGTGTGGGGCATGGCGGAGCTAAGTGTTGCGGCAAACTTCCGCCGGATGCAGCCAGCATCTGTGGCACATCCATTGAGGAGGTGGCTGCTGAATGTGGGTCATAAGAGTTTATTATCAACAAGCTGCCACATCCGGCGTCCTGGGCAACCTGAAGCCAGAGCAGCGAAACAGCTAAAAGCCATCGTCAGTTGCCATTTTCCTTATGACGACGGCAGCAGCTCGACTTTTGCTTTTGCTTTACCTATTTCTTTCCTTGTTTCTCTCTTTTTGTTCTTATTTCGCATTGATTTCGCTTTATGGCGTTAATATTAAAACGACATTTTTACATATTGGCGCGCCTCGTTTGCCATTTTGTTGGCGTCGATTTATCGTCAGGATTTGGATATTTAACGGGCGGAAGAGGGGCCCGCCACGTTGTTTAGATTACAAATTGGCCCAGGCAGCAACAAAAAAAAAATCACAACAAAAATTATACTCTACAGAAAATGTTATCAATTCAGTTTTCAATCGCGACAAGGGGCGTTGTGTCCTTGTGGCTTGTGGGCGTGCAGCTTGATCAACTTTTTTCTGCTTTGCTTTTACATTTATTTTTTTTTTTTGCCTAGCAACTTTTTTCACAGGTTCCCTCGCTTCCCTCCCTACCCCCCCTACACTGGTTGTGACAGTTTTCCTAGAAAGTTCGTTAAAAACATTTTTGTGTGAAAAAATATTGTCGTAACCCTGATGAAGTTTTCAATTGCTTTCCGCCACAGAGGAACAGCAGTCTGTCGTGTGGCTGCCTGGTACAATCGCCGCCATTTTAGGATATTTTGGGTGCTCAGGCTATTCGGCCATTTGGCCGGCCGTTCAACCGTTGGAGGCATTTGGCTCCGGAACATTCCCAATATGTTGGCGGAAGGAATATTTTTGTTCGATTCAAAAGTGCATGAGAAATACATTTCAGTCGCATGTGGGGGAGTAGCGAAAAATGCGTCAGGGCATAACACAAAACTTTGCCAATAAAACAGTGTAGTTTAACTATTTGATTTTTTTTTTTTTGCTTTTTGCTTTTTGTAAGCCAACATAGAGCATGAAATGGTGATTGGTTTTGGGAAATGAATTGACAATTTGTCTGTCTTTGTCATTTAATTGGCTTAATGTTTTTATTGAACGAATACGAGCGCATTGATATTAAACTATATATGAGCTTGATGGCACAAATAGACACTAGAAACGATAACAACTGAAAATGTATTTTTGTCTGGGAATATTTGTAATTGTATTGGTCTATATGGGTGCCATCAAGTTAAGTATACTATAAATAATATTTGCCATAATACCTTCGACTGAGTGTAATCGATACCCATAGTCTGAGTAGCTGAGTAGAATCAGCAAATAGATACAAATACAAGCTAAACAAAAAAAAAATAATGCCCAAAATAATGACCTTCAATCAGCAATCGATTCAATGATAGATAAAAAATACGGCTAGGTTAGGTTATGGCGCCTGTCCGGGTGGCAACCAACATTTTGCCGCTCCCTCGCTAAAGCGTCAGATTTGTGGCACCATCCTTCCCATCGATGAGGTGAATATGGCAAGTTGCCTTTGCTGAATATCAGATAGCTCTAATAAGCTGACAATTAGAGGAGAACCATGGAATTATTGCTTTTCGTAGACAAGCACAACTTCTCCAACTATTTCCAGAGTATTTAAATATTTATTTATTTATTTTATTTACTATTTTATTTATTAACTTATTTAAAATATTCTAGAGGTACGCTGTATTCATAAATTACTGTAAAATACATCTAAAACTTTGACAAAAAATCTCATTTTCTTTAAAATATTTTTGATCAAATTTTAGATTTGCGTTTAATTAAAAAACTTAAAATCAATGGAAAGTTATAATTGAGCTGTACTTGTTTTGATTGTATTAAAGACATTTGGGCAAGATATGCGCTTTAGCATTTAAAAGAGATCGCCAGCAGCTATGCGGGTCAGCAAAACCAGTTTTTGATATTTCGTGAACTGAATATTAAGTATACGTACTTATTAAAATATATCTGCGGTACTCTGTAGCTGGGGCAATGGGGTGGGGTATGTGGCACTCGAAAATATGGTTTAAGCGGCTTGCCGATTCGCACACGCCCCAGAAAACAATGCGAACAATAGTAATAAATAATTTATAAGTGCGCATTTGCCACATTAATCACGAGCTGACGCTTCCGCCTGGAAAAGCGCAGAAAAGCCAGCAGCAGCAGCAGCAGCAGCAGCAGCAGCAGCATAAAGCGAACAAACTGCAAAGATGGAAAAGGTGGGAGGCAGGGCATTGGGTAAATCTCCTGGCAAATACTTTTGCCCGCTTCAAAGCCGACGCATATTAATTTCGGCACAACCAAGCTTCACCCCCCGAAACCCCTTCCCTTTCCCCCATTTCTAGGACTGGCACCGACGAAGCGTACAAATTGCCATCACTTGCGTTCAATTTTAGACTTTTCCAAGCAAATGAACAGACGCTGATGGACGGCGGCGGCGACGGCGGCGGCGGCGGAGGATGATGTCCAAAAATGTCAAGTGCCAGGAGCCCATTGGCTGCACAAGGACATGGACACAATCCTCGAACTCGTTCAACCCGTCAGCCAACCCATTTGCATATTGTGCCCCAAACAACAACAAAAAGAAGACACCAAATTGGTTCAATTTAAGCCGCGTTCCCTTTTTTTGGACAGTTTAAAGCTCGATTCGGTGAACTGAAGCCGATGTGGGAATATGGCATATTATCGCATTTGCATATGAGCTGAACTAGGGATTTGTATGTGTGTTGTGACAGGCAGCAACTTGGCCTTTTTTTTGCAGAATGCCACCAAATGCGATTGACTAGAAATTCCCAAACAAAAATTCAAATTTTAAACTATACACGTAGAATTTGGGAAATAATCGAACATTTCAATCGACAGACATAAAGACAACTAAACTGTGTCGATTGAAATGTCAAATAATTTGCACATTCTTGGATTAAACATGTTTCAATAGTGGGTCCTTTTGATTGTATTTAAAGGTCGCTTTATTTCGACACTCTTAAAACTAGACACAAAGTTTTAAGCCAAACTTTGGAGGTAGTTTACTAGGAACGCCTTTCTCAACCTATTCCTAGCCACCTGTTATCAGAGTATTTCATAGTCGGCCATGCCCGGCTTGTTTTCAGTTGGTTCTCGTGAAAAGTTTATGTGCTGCCTTCGAGTCGAGTGAGCATTTTAAATGACAAAATGGTGCAATAAATAATTACTTATATTCGCTTGCAGTTAACAGCAAACGTTCAGGCAAATCGCATTAATTTTGTTTTGTTTTGTTTTGTTTTTGTTTTTTTATTTTTTTTTTAATTCCAATTCCAATCCATTGCGCTCTCAAGAGTAAAAATAATAAGTGAGGCAAAGTTTAAAGTTTATCCCGATAACAAAAACAGCAACAACAGCAGCGAGAACAAGTTGCATGCAAATGCTTTTCATAGGGGCAACATGTAGGCGTGCCTCACATGGGCGTGGCACTAGCTGCATATCAATGAACTGCAAGAGCTACAAAAAAAGGAAAACAATCAAAATGAAGCAGCAGCATCAGCAGCAGTACATAAAAAACAACAAACAACAACAAACTGTAAACAATCTGCTGCGCAATGGGAAATGTGGCAAGGGGCGGAATGGGGGGGTGGTTAAGGTGGAGTTGACTCGTTTTCTGTGTGTTATGTTGATTGGT